TTATAACCATGTTTTCCTCTTACTTTGTTTTTCAAGTTTAGCAAAGAAGAATTAGGCCTTCAAGTAGAGTGTTTGAGACATATTTATAACCATGTTTACCTCTTACTTTGTTCTTCAGTTTGGCATGGACTCAATTGTGGTGAAATAGTTGACTTTTACCGACATGAAAAGACTAAGGTCTTGCGCGAGAGAAGAGAACGGGAAGAGGTTTTAATCTTGTTGTTGTTTCATGTTTTATTGACATAAGTTTTGTATCAGTACATATATATGTGTTTTATATTAGTTTGTATATGATTTTGTAAAGAGAAACAATATTTTGGACGTAAAGAATAGCATTTTAACATAAGAAAGGGGTTAATCGCCAATGTATTAGGGTTATATTGTCTTAATTTTTGTTTAGTGATTAGCGTCCATACCCTTTTAATTGACAATTTATGGGGTTTATACAAAAGTATGAGATTAAGGTGAGAAAATGAAAAAGATTATCATAAGGAAGGGGTTAATCGGCAATGGATTGGGGTTTATATTTTCTTAATATTTGTTTAGTGATTAGCGTCCATAGCATTTTAAATGTGGTTTATATTTTGATAGCATTTTAACATAAGAAAGGGGTTAATCGCCAATGTATTAGGGTTTATATTTTCTTAATTTTTTTTTAGTGATGAGCGTCCATAACTTTTTAAATGACAATGTACTAGTCACTTTCCTAACCTACCTCCTAATACCGTATGTAGTAATCCTAATTAATAAAAAACGGAATGGAACATATGAATACAAAAACGGAATGGAATGGATGATTTAGTTATAATGGAACAGAAATAGGTAAACTGTTTGAAGATTATCATAAGAAGGGGGTTAATCGTTAATGGATCGGGGTTTATATTTTCTTAATTTTTGTTTAGTGATTAGCGTCCTTAGCATTTTTAAATGGAGTTTATATTTCCATAGCATTTTAACATAAGAAAAGGGTTAATCTCCAATGTACTAGTGTTTATATTTTCTTAATTGTTGTTAGTTATTTTCTTAATTGTCTTTTAAATGAAAATGTATGGGGTTTATACAAAAAAGTATATGGGGGCACTAAAAGAAAGAGATTAAGGTGAGAAAAATAAAAAGATTAACCTAATTCCTATCCCACCTATTAATATTGTATGTCGTAAGCCTACTTAATAGAATAATAGAATGGAACATATAAATATAAAAACGAAATTGAATGAGAATGACATTCATATAGAATAGTAATGCATGTAAGTTCCATTCTCAGTTATGTTAATTTTTGTTTTGAAACGTGTATACTTATTAGCCATTCATTTTGCTGCATTTTCTGACATCATATGTGTTAAATACAATTGAATTACACGTTTCATATAGGTATATGATTGTTAATAGGGAATTCATATGCCGCAAAAAAATCATCACGTAGCTTACTATAAAAAGTGTAACTGGCTACCTGTTATGCAAAGGGACATAACCGGATGAATTATAGTCAAAAAGCCTGACATTAAATTATGTCAAAATCAGTGCTACTCACCTAATTTGTTACTCAAATATGGTCATTTCGCCAATAAGCCATTTGTTTATACTTGAAATTTTAATATTAAAAAAAAAAACAGCTAACAGAAATGGGCCCACAATAAGAAAATTTTAAAACGGCCCGCTCCTCCCTTGGAAGGGCTTTTTTATCCGCGCTAAGGAGAAATAGATTTGAATTTCCCACAAAACGCTCACTCTATCCACGCAGATGAAAGACACTTGTTTGTGTGTCGTCACTTTTTGTCTTTTCGAATCGCTGTTCAATGGTAACGCTTGCCTGAAGTCAGCGTTAACTATAACGCCGTCATAAAACGTGGTTTTCTGTTTCGGTTTCGATTTCTTGATAATTCTCTCCCTTCTATCTATGGTAATAAAACTTCATAAAGGTTTGTCCTTTCAATACATTCTTGTTTTGTATTTCGAATGTTTCGTAACTGTACACTTTCTTCTTCTTCTTCTTGTTTCACTTTCTCCGCCCCAGGTTCGATACTCAACCCTTGGAAAGATAATATTTCGATTTTGGAGGATACAAACAGCAACTCGATGTTTACGGATCTGTCATAAATCTCTCTGACAAGTTCCTAATCTTGATTCTATTTTTAGCCCTTTTTCTCATGAGTCAAAGCTAAAATTGATGGTTGAATTGAATGATTCTCATCGACCAATTAGCGAGTGGTTTTTAAAGTAGGTTTCACTTTCCAACACTCTTCTTCTACTGCTCTCTTACAAACTCCTAAAGCTTTGTTTCTTGATTACTATCTCTTTTGTAGTATTAATTTGCTCCTTTATTTATTTATATATAATATATAGATTTGATTCAAGCTTTCCTTTTTTGATACTGGGAGATACATACATACGCAGATGAAGAAGCTTTTCTTTTTCAAATCATCATCTGGTAATGCCACTGATAAACATATCCTCCGAGAAAAAGAATCAGAAACTACTCCAAAGAGTGGTGGTGGTCACGCTCTTAGACGAAGCCGTTCACTTTCTTCTTCAGCTTTTCTCCTTGATGGAACCATCTCAAATGGTTCTAGAAGCAGTCGACAACAAATTCATTCATCTCGGTAAAGAAAAAGAAATGATCTTTATATACTCTCTCTTTTCTTTGTGTGACATGGTTTGTTTAAGAAGTATTAATGTGTTAGTGACATTCTATTTTGTTGAATTGTTTCAGTTTCAGATGTTTTACACCGGAAAGCCAAGGAGAGCATGGTCGCATGTATAATGATTCATCTCCAAGTTTGTCATCAACTTGTTCTAGTAATCTCTCTAGTCAAGTCTTGGACCGTTTCATTGATGGAGAAGCGCATTATAATAAGCAAAAGAGTGGTTCTTTACGTAGTAATCACTCAGGGAGTGTCAAAGGAAGGAGGCTCCCACCTCGAGTTCAAAGCCCTTCACCACTATCAGATAATGTCCTAGACAAAGGACAATGTAACAATGGTTTGGGAGATGCATCAGCTCGTTCACTTTCTCATAATAAGGCGTCAAGTTATGACTCAAAAAGCTTGGATGTTTACGCCAATCTTGTTTCGTTGTCTGAAGACAAAGAACCGATGAATGGATATTACACGAATGATCACCACACAGAGCAGCACCAAGAGTTTTTCTTGCTAAGTGAGAATGTTTGTAAAGAAGGTGAGCTAGAGAAGAAGTATAAAGAAGCTGGGAAGAGAGTGAAGATGCTTTCTCAAGAGCATAAGTTTCTTTCAGACAGTGACTTTGATGTATCATCTTTGGTTGATGATGAGAAGGTGGGTTTGGCTTTAGAAGTCTTAACTCTTCTGCGGTCACAAATGGATGAGAGAGCTTCTGCAAAGGAAGAAATCAAACGGGCAAAGACTGATTCAGAATTGCATATAAAGAGACTAGAGAAAGAGAAGAGCGAGTTACAGTTTGAACTTGAGAAAGAGCTTGATAGAAGGTCAAAAGAGTGGACTTCAAAGCTGGAGAGTTTCCAGGTGGAGGAGAAGAGGCTGAGGGAGCGTGTCAGAGAGCTTGCTGAGCATAATGTCTCACTCCAGAGAGAAGTATCAACATTTCATGAAAAGGAAACCGAGCGGATTGATATGATGAGAAACATGGAGGAGAAAGTTAATGAGTTGAGTGAAACAGCAGAGGATACACGTCAAGAAAATTCATATCTTATGCAAAGCCTCTCCAAGTTACAAGAGGGTTACACTGATACTACAGAAGATCTTGATAGTGTAAGAAGAAAGTTTGAAGAGAAGGAGATGGAATGCAAGGAGTTGTACAAATCAGTTACGAGGTTGGTAAGAACCTGTGGGGAACAAGAGAAGACGATTCAGGGACTTAGAGATAGTCTCTCCGAGGGAACTAAACATGAAGATATGGTGAAGAGATTGCAGATGGAGCAGATAAGGTTGACAGGGGTTGAGTTCTCACTTAGAAAGGAAGTGGAATCAATGAAGCTTGAAGTTGATTCACTACGTGTTGAGAATATTTCTTTGCGGAACTATGACACTATGACAACTTTTAAGCTAGACAATGAGATGAAGATGCGTGTAGGGCTATTGCAAGACCAAGGGGTTTTGATGTTAAATGAGAGCACACAGCTATGTTACAAGTTGCTGAAGTTCATCAAAGAGAAGTTATCTGAGGACATGCATAATGGATTGAGTGAGCAGTTTCTGATTGAATCTGAGATGAATGTCCATGGAATACGGCGTGGTACTGAAAGCCTCAAGAGGAGTTTGCAGACAGTCAACAGTTTGTTGGTTGAGAAAGCCAATGAGATTGCATCAAACACAGAATCATTGAGGTCTACTGAGCCAAACAACCAATCAGTAGAGGTGAGTTATACCGAAAATCTTTTCATTTCAACATGTTTGACTGTGCTAAGTGTTTCACCTTTTGTCTGACTTTAGAAACTTTTGAGAAGTGAACTGAGAGCAGAGACTCTAGTAACGAGTTTGTTAAGAGAGAAACTGTACTCCAAGGAACAAGAGATTGAACAGCTGCAAGCAGAAGTAGCAGCAGGTGTACGAGGTAACGAAGTTCTCCAACGTGAAATCCAGAATGTCTTGGACAACCTTTCAATGAACACACACCAATTAAAAGACTTCAAGATTCAGGTACTCACATCATAAGTAGTTAACTAAGCTCCTTGAGTGTGTTCTGATGATGATGATGATGTTGACATCAGATGGTGAAGAAGGACGAGAACGTTAACCGGCTTGAAACCAATCTCCAAGAAGCTGCTAAACAATTGGCTAGCATGAAAGTTGCATTATCAAAAGTGTTGGAGGAAAGAGAAGAGATGTGTAAGGAAGTAAATGACTGCAGAAAGAGAAACGTGGATCTGGAGTCAGAGAAGGAGATGTTGAAGAAGGAAGTGGAGAGATTGGAAGAAGACACACTGCTTAAGGAAGGTCAGATCACGATACTAAAAGACACGCTTGGAAGCAAGCATTTCGATCTCCTCTCTAGTCCTGACTTCTCATATAACGAGTTTTTAGTCCAATAAGACAAGAAAATAGATGTATAGGCTTATTTTTCTTTCTTTCTTTAGGTCTTATAGATTTGATATATATGCTTTCTCAAACTTTTTGAATAGCTAATAAGATTCACACTTTGTGAATGAATAGAAGGAACATAGTTGCATTGATCTAAAAGTTGAAAAACTGGAACCAATCTAAAACACACCATGATTAGGCTTTTGAACCAATATTATACTTCATATTGTGTTGGGAACAAGCGGAGCAAAGCAAAACCATCTACATATTCTAAAACAACCAACACTATCTTGAACTTGCTGTTACAAGCATTTCCCCTTGAGGGTACTGCTCAAGTGCTGCATCATTCAAGTTTTGTACAGGTGATGAATGAGAGTCTGGATCCTCTCCATCAATGCAGGTCAAAGGAAAACAAAACCGATTACATATATGATTACTTGAGTAGTACTTTCCATATCTTGCTAATATAAACGACTAAAGACCAAACCGAAAGTCCTGCTGAGATATAAAGCAAGCCAGCACCAGAAGCTACAAGCCATCCAACATTGCTATCCCTGCTTGCGAGAAGTATGGTCAGAGCTGTCATCTGCGTAGCGGTTTTCCACTTCCCCAAGTTATTTACAGCAACAGCCTGTGTGAGCAATCAATCAATCAATCAATCAATGCCATTTAGTAAGAACATAAACAAATACAAAAAGCTAGATGTTGGTGATTTAAACTTACCTCTAAAAGCTTCCCATTTTGAGACGCAGCCCATTCTCTCACTGCAGACATTGTAATCTACATCAACACAAACGTCTCATATAGTTAAGGACACATACTTACTCAGTGAATGAATACAATGAACTTTCTTAATCTCTTACCTCCCTACCAATGATTGCAATAGCAGGCACCGTCAATAACCATGGAACTGGTCCTAACACAGCAACATCAACAGGTTTTGTACACAGTAAAATCAATGTAGCTGCAACCATAAGCTGAAGAAGATCCAAGATACAAATCAGATCTCAGTACGAAGCGTGGGATTAAAAAACACAAGTCTAGTGCATACCTTATCAGCAACTGGATCCAAAAAGGCACCAAACGCAGAACCTAACTTCATCTGAAAATGCACATGATCTGATCATTAGCATTGCAACTCTGATAATACACAGAGTTTGTTAATAAAGGAAGTACCTTTCGTGCAAGATAACCATCAAGCCAATCTGTAATAGCTGCTGCAATAAAGATGCTTGTAGTCGCAGTGGTTCCCCACGAACTATCAGTATAAAAGGCTAACAAGCATAAAAAAGACAAAAGGATCAAACTTTACATGAAAAAACAGTCTCATAAGATGTTTTTGCTGCAATAAATGAACGTACTTGCGACGAGAAGTGGCACGGCAGCAACACGAGCAATGGTTAATACGGTGGGCAATGTAAGAATTTTGGAACTTTTCTCGTCGTCATCAAGCTGATTGTGACCCGCGAGGCTTGATCGGGGGGGCGTAGACGAAGATGGTCTTTCGCCGTGTTTCTCCGAAGAAGAGGATAAGTGGCGGCGGTGGTGAAATGTCTGAATCCGAAACCCTAGAGGTGTGTGGGGAGTGAAAACGCAGCGTGAGGAATGGGTGAGATGAGAGAAGGGTGCGCGTGGACGTAACGTGCGGCGTAAGTTGACATCGAGGATTAACGAAACAAAGCTGGATCTGAGCATGGGCATAGCTTCTTTTATTTTGTTTCAGAAATTGTCTGAAAAGGTTAAAACGGAGAAGATGAATGAAGTTGGAATAAAATAAAAATTCAGAAGAACTTGGAAAGAAGGTGACGTGGCTTCGATTTTGTAAAGTGTGACTTTACAACCGGAACTATGCAAGGGGGCTTGGCTTAGTTTATTTTGGGCCCAAACAAATTATTCTTTTAATACTCTATAAATTAATATATATTTAATTTTTTATAAACTAATATATTTTATAGTTTCAAATAGAGTTTTTGGTTAATTATTATATTTATAAATTAATAATTTTTATAAATTAGTAAAAAAGTTATAGTTTGGATGCAGTCCCAAAATTATTAATTTATAGACATTTCATTATATTAACTATTTTAAAACCCACCTAAAGCAGGAGACACTGGGTTAAGTAACAAAGTTTTTAAATATGTAATGCACTATTTGAGCAACATTAACGAGGATGTTTATCCCGGGTGCTTAACAACTTTAAAAAAAAAGTCGAAGAATCAATATTATTAATTTTGGATCATACCCCATTGATGAAGGTTGAGTCCAACAATAACTATCTATTCATACATAATTAAATAACTGAAATACAAATTATTTAAAATTGAGGCATGAAGCAGTTACCTAGCGTTTTTATAGGAACCTTTTGTTATTTTTGTACTCGTAGTTAAGTAGAGTTCATCCCCTATATTTGCAATGGACGTAACCCACCATTCCCTCAACTACTTTTCTGACCAGTAAAGAATTTATAGTTATATTTCTTTATCAAATAGTTAATATATATATTTAGTCACCTTCTTTTTTTTTGTTAATTGACTTGATATATTTTAAGATTAACTTGGATTGACAAGAACGATTTATTTAATATATATATATATATATATACACTTAATCTTAATTTAATATTTTTGTTTTTATTTTTTTTCATCTAATACCTTTTACCCATGTAAGGAAAACTATTAATATACTAAAGCATAAATAAAAATATTAAAATCATAAAAATGAATAAATACACTTTCTAGCCATATATCGTAATATAACAGTTTTTGTTACAGTTCTACATCATCATGTATTTCTTTCAATAATTTCATTTGGATACACTACAAAAAATAAGAGAGTTAAAGAAGTTGCAGAATGAACAAAAAAATCTGAAAACTACCATAAAAGCTTAATAATTTTTATAGCTGGAATCAATTATATGAACAACATGAGCTCATAAGAATCTATTATAAATATCCAACAGTTGATAAATACATTTAATTAGATAGGTCTAAAAGACAGATATATTTTTGGTTAATTTTTTTTAGAAATGAATTTTAATATTTGTAGTTTTGTAATTATAGTTGTAATTGATATTAATTTTATTTTAATATAATATTTGGTAACTATATTAAATATTCAATTTGCATAACTATACATTTGTACAAGAATTTCAGAATTTTTTTTTTTAATTTTATTCCTAAAATTTACAACATATTAAATTTGCTTAGTAGTCATCTAACATAATTAGTCAAGAATATTTGTACATGAAACATCCAACTCAAAATCGACCTAAAAATCAAAATCTCATATTCTATTATACATGACATATATACTCGAACGGTTCTTAGAGTGTTATATCTGAAAAATAATATCAAACTCAACTTGCACCGAAAATCGAGCAAAACTTTTGAAAAATATTTTAAAAAATTATTTTTTTAATATTTGATAGGTTAATTATAAAACCAAGACATGAAACCAAAAAACCAATTGATTGTAATGTTCTGGAAAAGATAAATACCTTAGGTTCCACATGTTGTTAAAATATCTATATGTGAGTGGTGAATGTATTCATAGAAGAATTAATAAGAAAACTATATTTGAGTGGGTTAATAGCATGTTATACATTATTGGTCGACCACCATTTGTTTTCTCACTTAAATACGTTGTCAAAAAGTACATTTTTGTATCTTTAAAGATGGGTTCCAAAAGTTAAGAAGTTAAAGTAAATGTTGCGAAAAATGTAGATTAGTAATAAGTTGTATATACGGCAATTTCAATAATAATGTAGTGATTAGTGTTTCAATGAAATTAGATACATTTGTATAAAAAAAAGTGTTCCTTAAATAAATAAATAAAATAGTTGGATTAAACATATATCAATAGATTAGGTCTGGGTATTTTATTCAGATCCAAAGACCTGAACCGGAACCGATCCAAAATACAGATCCGGATCCAGGTTCATGCTAAAGTATATGTTGGGTCCTTTTTTGGACCCGCAGATTTTAGTTCGGTTATGGATCCTACCCAAGACCCTATCGGTTACCCGAAGTATCCACAAATTATTGTACATATTAGGTATATTAAGGTGACTGGATATATTTTTGGTTTTTCGGATATTTTTTAGAGTTTCAGGTTTGAATTTTCAGGTATAATTTTAGCTTCTGGAAAAAAAATTAGATTTCTAAAAAAAATAATTCGGGAATCTAGATAAAATTTTGGGTTTTTCTTTTAGATTTTGAATTTTATTTTGGATAAATTTTCGCGTAACTTTGCGGTTCATTGGGTGTTTTCGAATCGATCCAGATCCGAAATATATGCAAATTACAGATATTTTATGGGCATTGTAGATCCGAACCGACCCAAATCCGACAAGATCCGACCTTAAAAATTATACTTAATCTATATGGTTTAAATTAGCAAAACCTAAAAAATCTGGACCCGAATATCCAAACCTACAATAGGTCATGTTTTAAACTTATTAGAAGAGAGAACCAATATAATTACAAAAAAATATAACTATTAAAAATAGATTTCTCAAAAAAAAAAAGAAAAATAAAATATACCCGCTCTTTTAAAGGGCGTGTCAAAATGTAGTCAGCGCTTAAACGAGCATCATAAACGCATGTATCTTAGAGACAAGTGGCACGCTACTATTAAGCAGTTTTCTTTTCTCAAACATTTTTTTCTGAAACATTGTTTTTATGACCAAAATAACACCTAAATATAAAAATGACTTAACTAGCACCTTTTTTTTTTTTTTTGAAAATGAGCAAAATGACATCCAAAGATAGAAAAAAAATCTTTTTTTTGTTCTTTTTTTTTTATACACTAAGTTTGATGTTTTTGTATCATAATCCATAGTCTGATAGTAGAAGACGAATTAGATGGATACACGCAGTTGGATGTTTCAGAGTTCCAACATGGAGAAGACACCGGAAGTTCACATGTCGATCTCACGTATTCTATAGATATCCGTTTAAATATCATCAATATGATGGGTGTTCGAACTAAAATTTGTGATAGACAAATGCATCAACAACTGAAAACTGATTGGTTGAACATATATGGCGTAAATTTAGGAGTGATGAAGACAACAACTATTCTCATTTATTTTATTCATCTTTGTTTTTTATGATTTTATTTTAAAATCTACGTTTAAATGTTTCTTTTTATGTTTTCTTTAATAAATAAATTTTATCTTTAAAAAAATTAATTTTCTTTTTTAAGATCCCCAAAATAAGAACATCCCCTTGAAACACGAAAATGTTCGGGGTTCTTAGCACTCCAGCTTAAATCACTTTTACAACTTAAAATTATTAAAAAGAAAAAGAAAGAATAAGCACCCTTAATTGAAGTTTTGTTTAATGGTGCTCTTATGTTACATATGGAGGAAGCCTTTTCAAGTAAACACCATAGATAATGTATAAAGAAAATAATTAGAATAAAAAATTCCCTATAAATGAAAAGATAAGCATTAAGATATTTGAACCAACCCTGACACATATCATCACGAAAATAAATTTTAAAATCTTTAAAAATGAATTGGTCCACTAAATATTATATTTTTCATTACCTAATCATATAATTAATTATTTCTATAACAATATTATTCATTATTTTCTTACATAAACATATAGAATTACCTAATCTGAACAAAATATATAAGATACTTAATGATTTTAAATAATAAAGATTTGATAATAATTTGTACGCACTTTATCATTTTTGTTTTATATTAACATTATTAAAATAAATTAGACAACAAAATTAACCAAATAATAAAAAATCAAATTTTCTATATATGTTATATTTTGAATTTTAAAAACGAATATAAATTAATAAATGATTAAAAATCTCACTTTAAAAATTTGTATCAATTATTCAAATGCTCATAAAATTATATGAGTAAGATGTATCTTCTAATAAATATTAGATTACATTAAAATTAAATTCTATATTACACAAGGTGCATAAATATTTTAGTTTCAAATTTTAATTTAATTTGTTAAAATTATTATAAATTAATAAAATATATTAAAAGTTCCATATTTAAAATTTTGTTATCAATGTTTCAAAGTTTTTGTTATAAAATTGCAAATAATTATAAAATCATGTGAATAGGAAAATTTTATTTAATAAAGAGTCATATTAAAAAGATATACTATACATCTATTCATATCATTTAAATTTAATTATAAAGAATATAAAAGATAAAAATATTATTTACATTTACTAACCATAAAATGATTTTAAATAAGAAAGATTACTTGATTTTTATCTCCGCACCAATTTAGTTATATATGTAATAGTCACTGACTTTTCACTAGTTTACTATAAGTAAAAAACATGCAAATAAATTCTAATACATAAAATTATATGTATATATAGCATTTATCATGCGAAATGTTGGATCTTAATCTAGTGTAAAAGTAAGAGAGAAGACTCGTCTTCTCCTAAAGAGATGCATGTTTCTTTATAAGAGATAATTCTCCACATGTCATCATCCTATTGATCTAATTGTTAAAAATAAATAAATATAATTATATAACTAAACAATAATATTTTACCTATATTTTTAAAGACTCAAACATTTTATATTATTGCTGATATTCTAAAAGCATCTCCAATAATGACACTAAACTTGATGTCAAAATTATATCAATTGGTATAACAATTCTTTTATCATCTCTAACAGTGACATCAAATTATTTTTTATTTTTATTATTTTTTATTATTTTTAATTAATAAATAATTATTTATCCCATTTATATTTATATTTATCTCTTTATTATTAGTAAGTGGTAATTGATAATAGTAAATTAGTTATATATTTATGTTTAATTACAAATTTGATAGGAATTAAAATATATTATTAAATGAAATCTAATAAAATATATATTTTAAATATTTGGTGTGATAAATAGTGTTACATCAAATTTGATGTAACACTATTCACATTATACCAAATTTGGTGAAATTGTATCAGTTTTGGCATTTTATTGAAGATGAAACATTTGATGTTTTAATATTTTATTGGAGATGGTCTAAGGGTCTAGTGAAAATGTAATTAAGCTATCATCTATCCATTTTAAATCTCTTAACTAATTATATGTCTTAGAATCATTAAATAAAATCCAATGATGAAAATATAATTTTTTGGTTGTTTTTTAGATTAAAAATCACATGTGTTTAAGTTTTACAGAAAAAAACATCATTCAGATTTAGAAATTATTTTCATTTCTATTTTTTTAAATGGTAAGTATAACTATTTTTATAGAAAACTAACAAGTGTGGTTCACCATCCAATGCGTAAAACCAACAAAATATCCAAAGGTTACGGCTAGAAACATTCTTTATTTAGCGTATAAAATCCACACTATAAAACTGCACGAGTGTTCATTAGAAAAAAAGTAAAATATCCAAAGCAAAATGGTTATATCCAAGAAAACAATTGTTTTATCATTGGCTCTTGTAGCCATTGTATGTATCGTCATGACCACAACTGAAGCCACACACCCAGGGAGTGCAGCTATAGACAACGATCACAAGAGTTGTGCCTCGGGAACTTGCAAGTCAGGAAGTGATGATGAACCATTTAATCCGGGTTGTGAACCTGGTAGTGGTAGAAGATGTCGTGCGGGTTGATATTAAGAGATTTTTTTCTCTCTGGGAGATGAATAAGAATCAAGTTTTCAATTACTTCTAAAACTACTAAATACATAATAATTTTAACTATATTTATGAGAATAATTTTTGTGAGCAATAGCTAGCGGATATTAGTATTGTAAGCTTATATCGGCTACCTGGTATTAAAATGTTTGTATAGTTTTACCCCAGCCATTTGTTATAAGATGGCTTTGGATGTAATAAGTTCATATATATATATATATTTATAATGTTTAAATGATGTTTTTGTTGTATAATTCTTTTTCTTTTTGGATCAAAGGTATAAAAGCTTTAAGGTGTGTTCATGAGTTATTGACATATAATTCAGATACCTACAAATCTACAATTGCTTTTTTCTAATATATATATATATGTCTCGTCTCAAATTTTTTAGACCATATCCAAAAGTATAGTATACCTCAATCATTATAAAAATATTAGAACTAGTTCACCTGATGTACTTTTTTTTTGAAACACTTATTTTTTTTTGAAACACCACCTGATGTATATGATCCTAGTTTAGGTATAGTATATCTGGATGTTAAAAAGGTACAGTGTATCTCAATCAGTACAAAACACATACAAAAATTATCACGATGAATATAAATTTTACGATTAGTTCAACATATTAAAATAATCATGTGATCCCAATACGATAGTAATTATTGACATTTCATGATGGAGGGTGTTGTCGGTTAGAGTCTTAAAAGTTATGTTTAGTATTGTATATATATACATATATATATATATTATGGAAGGTAGACATATTTGGTTAATTACTAATATTTTCATATTTTAGTTTCGAAAATACAGTAACATAACTTTAGTGCAATATTTATTGTTATTTATGTATTGTATTTATATATTATGTATTTTATAATTTTTATTATTTATTTAACTTTATAAATAATGTATAATGATTAGTTCAAACAATATAGTCCATAGTAAATATTATTTGTGTCAATTTTAAAATTATAAAATTATAACCATTTTATTTTTAAAATTATAAGTATGACATTTAATCACAGACAAAATACAATATTTTTCAACAAAAAAGTACAAATATTTCTATGTAAATACCAACTAAAAGTTTAATATTAATAATTTGTCGGTTCTTTAAAGATAATTTTGATCAGCTAAAACAAAAATAGAAGAAGTATAAGCATCTTATGAATAATTCAATTAACATTTCGGCTGATCCTACAACATCTAAAATATTTATCTTGATATTTTGGTAAAATATTTTATTGTTTGAATATATGATCTATAGTTTTGAACTGATTTTGTCATTCATAATTTATAATAAAATAAATTGTTTGATCTGCATCTCTCCTGCATGATCCGTTTGATCTGCGTTTGTCCCACTTGATCTGCATTTATCCTGCTTGATTTGCCTGAACCGCTTGATCTGCACCGCTTGATCTGCTTTTACCATTCGAAGCAAGTGAATTGGTGGAGTTAGAAAATTATTTATAGAAATTATAAAAAGACTATTGTCAAAGTAAAGGACTTCTACTTTGCCATGAAAATGAGAACATGTGAATAGGATGTTGAGTAACTAAGTGAATTGGTGGAGTTAGAAAATTATTTATAGTAACTATAAAAAGACTATTTAATATAATAGTTTCCATTATTAAAATTATATTAAAATTTACATCGAACTATTAATTAAACAAACAAAACAAATATATATATATATCTATATATATAAAGTAGCCTTTTCCCTATTCTTAGACTACCACGTCACTAATTAGACATATTTGGGTGTGACATGTGTCACTTTTTAAAATGTTGCGTTTCATTAAAACTGTATGGGCGTGTATGTGGGTTTTTGTTTTATATGGGCTTTGTTCTTGGCTTCTCTAGCAGTTCTAACAGCTCTCTTAGAACTTTGATCCATTTTTAGGGTTCTTTCCCATTCTCTGATTTCGACCATACGAGAGATGGATTTGTTTAAGTCGGAGCGAAGAGTCCGTTTATTGGGGGTATCAATCACGTCCTCTGACCTTCTTTCCATCAATCGAAACAAAACTACTTCCAGATCCATCACATTAAACATGTCCTTAGCTCCTTTAGCCACAATCTCAAACCATCTTCTATATATTTCTTAGTATAGTTATTCTATGTGATATGAGTAACTCAAGAGTCCTTTTCTCTGATTTGCAGAGGACGTGTTATGAAATTGTATTTCCGGGACCTGGATGTAAAATAATTCTCCAAGAAATTTACAGCATGTGCTAAAACTCTCATCGTCCTTTTAATTACAACCGTGAACACAAAACGTGTACTTGGGGGTACTCATTTCTCTCCTTTGCTTAACCAACTTGACTCCTAATTGTAACAAGAGATGTTTCTGTATTTTTTTGGCAAATGTTTCTACTAATATACTTATTTGAACATCCGACACTATTTGAAAACGTCAATAATTCAAGTTTTTAAACATTTAATTTGAAGATTTTTCTCAGTTAAACTACTTTACCTTTAAGAACTCCAATTTGGATATTTTGGTTGTCTCGCTGATCTCTTATATTAAATACATACCTAAGGTCAAATAGTATGCTCTTGAAGCAGCAACTGGATCAATGTTTGATATGTTTTCTTCATCATATAGTTGACTTTGATTACTTATATCTTACCAAGTTCAAGTTGAACTGTAATGTATACTTATGTTGCTCTTCAACAACTATGTGTTCATCTTGACTATGTGACAAATTGCTAAGATGGTGTTTACGGAGGAGGTAACTAAGTCTGACCCATGACTATTTTTGAAATCTACGCCTATATCAAGCATGAATCCGCCTAGGTAAAACTAAGGGCACAAGAAGCCCTTCTTCATTGATGTGCCGAAAATATGGCTATGTAAACGTAGCTGGTGTTGCAAAGTACTAAACTCAATAATTACTTTTTTTCTTTCTGTAATCGACTTTTTTTCTTTTAATCACAGGTACCTTGCAAAAGTCTATGTCTATGAAAATAACAACTACCAGTCTGTTTTCGTGCTACTTGGTGATGCCTGTCATGAGTTGACAGGAAAGCATACTATGGGATAAGTTGACAGCTACTATGAGGTTAGTTTGCTTCAGATTATACATGGACGTAAAGTTACTTATACTCGCTCTTTTTTAAATAAATTGTAGTCTAATGAAAACATTGGTGCTGACAAAGACATGTCTGCTCCCTAAGTTTTAATCGACACCATTGGTCAAACACATAAGTTCAGGGTCAAAGTATCTTAGTAAAACTTGAGAGCGAAGAAATCTATAACTGTTACAAAGGTGTTTTCTTCATCGGTTCTGTCACCTATAACAGCCCCATTTGAGAATGATGTGTGTGCATTTTTGAAAGATTGTGGGGACCTTTCTGATGAGGGAATGAAAGCACCAGTAACACTGACGTAGCACAGAAAGCTAATCAAGTTGCTGGATAATAGAGCTTCCATCACTCATCCCAGTCAATGCTAGCATGCGTTGGATTGTTACTCTCTTTTTTTCTAAGTTTTTGCTTCGAATAAGTTTTTCTTTATTTGGGTTTCAGTTATTGTTGTTGCTTTGGTTTAATATTTAAACACAGTTTACTTATTTGTTAGACTTAAAATTTTTCTTTACGTAATGATTTTAAAGTTCCTAAGCACTTGCTATATTGTATAGTGATGACAAATAAACAATCTGGAATTTTTAGAAAGAAAATAAACTTTTCACGCCTCACAAACAGATTATTTAGACTTTTACATTGTTATCTTTTACTGGCTCAAACTAACTGTAGCCATAGATCCAACCAAAATACGCAAGAGAAAAAACACAACTTCTTTCACATGTTCGTAAAAACTATCGGACAAGGCTTCAAAGGTCTTCTACGTTGGAGCTCTTTGGTTATGAAACAATACTCCAATCTACTGTATAAATGTAAGAATTTAAATCAGACCCAAACTTTTTATAACTTCACCCATAACACTAACTTATTATAAGGTTTGTCATTTCGACCGGAATGGATAAACCATCTCCTACCCACCCTCTGGATATTTCAGGCATTACAACTCATTATTCCACTGATTCACCAACATTAATGTTGGGTGTAAGCCAATTAGACTGGATATATGGGCAGGATTTTAGAAAAGAAAGAAAAGTTGGTTTATATTCAAATCAGAGAAATAAACGTGAATGCCTACATCTTCTTTTTATTTGTTTTATGTAAGTAGACATACTTTATATACCATGATATGAATGTATTTTTATATGTTCGTGGTATCTTTATTATATTCCAAAAATGCAGAAAATTAAACTTATATGCAGCAACATCAAAACAGCAAAAACCAGTGTATACTCTATCCTAAACTAAACGCTAAAGAACTTATTAAATCTGAACGATTCAACAAGATTTGATACTAACACAGCTAAAATAAATTTAATACTAACACAGCTAAAATAAATTTAATGAACGGACTGTACACTGTTTTGAAAACTGGACTGGACACTGATTCGGTATAGCAACTGGTTGATTGGTTAGATCGCTTCAACCGGTCAAACCGTTTTTTTTTCTTTAAATTAAATATATATATATATATATATATATATATATATATATATATGATTATTTATATACATAGTATATTATCTTTTCTCTTTATTAACTAGAAAAATAAAAAATAAACATAAAACTAGCTATATCTATATATATAAAGAAGGGTTTCCCTCATTTTCCCCTTGCCACGTCAGAAAATCAGTCAAGGAAAGCGTGACATCTGTCCCTCTTTGTTCAAAGTTATGCGTTTCATTTAAGCAAATTTGTGTTTATTTGGGCATTATTCAGTTGGGCTGCGTCTACACTTGATTAGGCCCATATAAATCTATATCCACCATATCAATTGTTAAGCGATGCGTTTCTAATTAGGGTTCGTCATTCGTGGTGTCTCTATTTTGCATATCCATTCCTCATCTTTCATATTTTCTTCTTCCGGTGCGAGATGAGACAGTAACAAATTTCCCCTCATAAAGCCCTCCATTAATCGACCACACATGATCTATATTCAATGCAACCCTAGAGACTGCAAGGTGGTGGATGTTCTACTATAAAAAAGGTATGAGCTCATGTCTTTAGAATCATACTTCATTCTACCGTGATGATCATGTTATTTTTGTCTTTAGAACTGAGAAGCTCCCAACTGTGATGATTTCGTTGCTTATGTTTCAGGTGACCATGACACCGGCCACAATCAATGTCAACCGGTTGGAGACCCACTGGCTTAACCTGAAGCGGGTTCGGTTTATACCCTAACCGGGTTTGATATTGCTCGGTGTAACCCAAATTACCGTCTATCGGATTCTTCCTTGCTATTTAGCGACTCAACTTCTTGCAAGGAGGTTACCAATCCAGCTGTTCCAATACATTCTGAATCATTTCGCTTGCGTAACCACATTGAGATACTTGGGCTCGCCTAACAATCAGTTTCCAAGTAATTTGTATCTTATATATTCCTCTGAATATCCGATTAGATAGATAATAATCTTCATTTTCAGACCTCATTGGTGAGATTACTGCTGTGAAGAGCATTAGAGCACTGTCATTCCTCTGGACAAGAACCGGGTTATGGCTACCATCAAGATGGACAAGTAAGTCATTTAGACTTTATCATATCTCCAGTTGTGTTTATCTAATTACAACGTTTATCTCACTGTTGTAACTTCTCATTTATCAGTGACACGTCAATGACTATGAGCTTCTTCTGGGATTGTTCCTAGGAAATTATATGTTGGAGGTATTCCTTATTCGAGATTAAATTCGTAGCTACTTCAGCTAATCTTCCAACGGCAAACTCCCTGCAACACCCCTGATCATCTCAAGGTAAAACCTTTTAGTCTAGCCTCTATCTCTTGAGTAATATATTAACGGGATCGTAATCTCTATCTTATCAGAGCTTGATCCCATGCGCAAGCATCACTGAGAGAAACACATAGAAGATTGTAGAGATGGAAAATTGAGAAGATTTTGGAAGAATACTCTTCTCTCTAAGTTATGATTATTCAATCTCCAAATCACAAAATGAGAGAACCTTCTTCTTTCCAAGCTGGTAAACATGCTCTTCACCAAATCTGTATGACTAATAAACTAAAACTTGCTAATTTCAGGGGAATAAGAGTACATAAATTTGTTTACGTGCTTTTGTGTCATGCGTGTCCTTCATCTTTTTTTATACGTTATCTTCTTGATTGGGAAAAACACATGTGTTTTAGAATTTTACTGGCCAATTGGGTTTTAGGTAAGTAACAAGTTCTTACAGGGATATATCATTCTCTATGTGCAGGATGGCTTTACTTTGGCTTGGAGATACAATGCCGCCACAGCGCCACTACGTTTTCATCCGGCTGCGTCACTTACGGACCACACCTTTAGAGTTGTTTCTTTATATGTTGGAGATAGCAGACACTTTTCCGGTTACGTGGACAATTTTATAAATGTAAGTATTGACTAGGATATTATGTTTTTAGTGGATTTGGTTTATCACATTCTAAAATAAGTTGTCCATGGATCGTTGTTGTTTATTTTGCGTCATGTTTATTTAGAGAGTCATAATGAGATGTGTAGGACATTGATATGTTGAAGTATTTGTTTTCAAGAACGCCAGCTAGCTTCCGAGTCTGCTGTGACGGATCTCGATCGGCTGCAAACGACGTTTTCATCCTAATCGCCATTATCATATTTTATGGGTTCTTGATGATTACCGCAGATTCATCACTGTAAAGCCATTTTTTTACAATTTCACAGCGAGACGACTTCACCATAATGGATTTGTACGGAAACATCTTAACTTTCTTTTCTTTTCTTTTTTTGTCAGTCTGGTTTGTCTGGTTTAATTACTCATCTCTCTCCTATTTGTCTCTTTTAAAGATCCCAACATCAGTGAATTTAATAATCTATATCTATATATAATGTTTTTGTGTATAGTGCTTGCGGGAATGGAGAGATACGCATTTAAAGGAGTTGTATCAAACTTTGTAACATCTAACAGATGTAGTGAATATGAGTAATTAAATTGCAGCCAAAACTGTAGGCACTTGACTGGTTTCACTTTCTATGTTGCATCTCTTTACTGCTCATTTACTGATATGTATTGGGATATATTCTTCATTATCCTTGCTTCTTCTCATGTAAGCTTTGTGGTACGAATCTTTTACATCAAACTGTAATGATATTTTGCGTATAATCATGCATGTATATTAATGTTGAAACTCTATTTTATCGTCGAGTTATGTCTTTCCAATAAGAATTTGGCTGTTTGCCTTATGATCGAGTATCACTTTTTGTTTCCAGCATTCGTCTATTATTGAAACTATTTGGTTAATAAGGATGTGCACTTAGTATTAGAATGAATGGTTTTCGACAGGTTTACTTTTCTTAAAATTTTGAAAGTGACTAAATGTACGCTAAGTAGATTTTGAAAGAAATGGCTTAGATTAACTTAAATAGTAATTGGTCATCATAAATTTAAAAGACCTACGTATTTTAACTTCAGATCATCTATGTTCGATAAGTTTTCTAAAATTTTTTATTTGCTTTAATTTTGAAATTTTCTGAAAAATACCAGACCCAAATGTCTATCGACCCCTAGATAGATCTTACAAGAGTGGCCTACATGTTTATAGTCATAACTCATAATATTCATACATTGTAATAATAATCGGAGAGTCATCATCCTTTTTCCCCGCCAAAATCAGTTACTAAATTAGTAATTCAAATATCAATAACCAACAAAAACATTCATGGGAATCCATACAACATAAAAAAAAAACCTACACCAACACTTCCATTTCAAATTCAGCCTTACCTCAACTAAATCACATAATATATATTGATTTCACAATCCAATAAACACTACTGACAACGCATCAAATTCCTAGACCAGTAATTCTTCGCCAATCATCAAATCATGGACAAAGTTTCTAAGTACACAAAACATTCACACAATAATTACTTATAAATACTTATCCATCAAACACAAAACTATAAAATACAACAAATACTTTTACCCAAACAGTCAGCTCTCTGGTAAATGTTATTTGCAACAGTTGTAAACCAAATTTTTATTTATAAACCAATTTAAAGTTGTCAAGTCATAAGTCACAATCAGGTGACGATGGCTTATATGGATCAATCAAATCTCAAATCACATAATGCGCTGCATTGATTAAAAGATGATTTAGTCTATTAACAATGAAGATTCAAAGAAGAAGGAACATCATATTGTCACTTGGACACAAGATATGTGATGAATACATATATTCTTATGCTGTTACATTTCCCTTTGAGATTGAAATTTTTGAAAGATTACTTTTCTCACTTTCATCATCTTGATGACACCAAAGTAACTATTTTACTATTACAAAGTTGCAGTTTTGCTCTACTAGGCGATGCTTGAACCGTTAAACGTTAGCGTGTCATGTGGCTGGAATACTACGTATAAACAGAGGAAGCTAAGGTTGTGGAGTTCATAAAAATTGTTGCCAACTCAAGAGCCATAGTGAGGTATCAGTTGGCGTAATGGCTTTGCATTTCTGCATACGGTACAATTACGTTGAGCTTCTAATATTTATAGTTTGAACAATGGCATTATATGTTATGATTCTTTTTTCAACCCTATAGCATCAAAACTACTATGATACATATGTTTCTTACTCACAGAATTGCATTACAGAAAGCTAATGACCTTTACAAAGCTCTGGAAGACGAAGTTAATACATAGAAGATATTGTTTTCTTGATTTAGAGTCGTTTATGTTGTCTCTTTATTTCTTTTCTTTTTCTTTTTATAAAATATGACTAGCCATCTTTATCTTCTCATGCTCGGTGCAGTGACCGAAATAGAATTGACTAAAAATTTAAAGTAATCATGTTATTGTAGAATCTGTGATTTTTTTCCTGTTTTTACTTTATTTTTCTGTCAAAGTATGGACATAATTTTTTTTTTTTACAATATAAACAATTAAATCTACAACAACAAATATTAACACATGATTTAAAAAGATGTTGAAAAGTAAATGAGAATGAGAATATAAAAAATAAAAAATAAAACATAACAAGATAAATAAATATTGTTTCCATGATATAATAATAGGTTAGGATATCATACGCAAATAAATGTATTCACGTCATGAATTCCAAAAAAATAAGTATAATTTGATACAGATTTAAAAATAAAGTGTATATACTCTGAAAGTTAAGAAGAACACATTCCCTAATTATCTCAACCATCAGATTAAATTCAACAAAATTGAATTTCATCATTCTAACATTAAGAAGAATACATTCCCTAAAAAAGGTAATCATGAAAATAATAATTCAAGTCTCATATATAATCATTTTTTTCCTAATAAAAAAAACATTTGTTAAACCAAATACACTTATTTACCAACCTCAGTATGTAGTAGGTAAATGTAATTTGTCTAACTTGCCTATTTCTTGAAAAGTAAATTCGAACTGGACGGTGTTAGGGTAATACATTTTGTTTTAATATTATGGGCTATCTTTTGAGTTTAACCTATAAAAAATATTAAAAAATATACAAAAGTGATGGTAAAAAAATGTTAAAAGATATTTTTTTAAAATAAATTTATAGTTTACTAGACTCTGCATACATAGAATTTCCACGAAAAATTGCTATTCAAGATTCACTTTAAACATACGATTAAATCTTTAGTAAATGTTTTTTTATTTGTTCTTTTTCATTTGTAAGATAGATAGTTTAAAATATCCCAAAACCCTTCACTTCAGATCGATGACTATAAATGTTAGTATATGAGATTAAACCTTAAGAACTACAAAACCATACAAAAAAACTGTAATATATATCACAAATAAAGTATATCCCGCCCGTAGGGCGGGCCGGCCCTAGTATACAATAAATAAGTGAACACAATGTAAAATTAAAATTGATAAAAACCAAACTATTGATTGTTTAAATTACCCGACTGGTTGACCTCATAATGTGGTGTGTCACGTCGGTCTCATATCAAGTCTTAGTCAATGGACAGCCGAGAGGGCGGATCTCTCCAAAGAGGGGCCTGAGACAAGGAGACCCCTTATCCCCCTTTTTATTCATCTTGTGTACAGAAGCTTTAATTTCGCTTCTAAACGGAGCAGAAGCGGAAAAGAAGATCGTGGGTCTTCGAGTGGCTCAAGCGAGTCCAAGGACCTCTCACCTTCTCTTCGCGGATGATAGTCTTTTCTTTTGTAAGGCTGACGCAAGCCAATGCAAAGAGATCATGGACATTATTGACGTTTATGGGAAAGCATCGGGACAGAAATTAAATCCGGCGAAATCCTCGATGTTTTTTGGTAATCGTGTGGATCACCTTCGAAAACGAGAAATTAAGGAAGCTTTGGGTTTCTCGACTGAAGGAGGCATGGGGATGTACCTTGGATTACCGGAAAACATTTGTGGATCGAAAACAAAAGTCTTCTCTTATATACAAGATAGGATGAATGGGCGAGTAAATAACTGGTCATCGAGACTCCTCTCTAAGGGGGGAAAAGAAGTCCAGATTAAGGCGGTAGCCCAAGCAGTTCCAACATACCCAATGTCGTGCTATTTGATTCCACAAGGCATCACTGATAAACTTAGTAGTACGACTTCAAACTTTTGGTGGAGCTCGAAGCAGAATAGCAGAGGTTTACATTGGATAGCATGGGACGAGATCTGTACCCCTAAGAGTCTAGGGGGACTAGGTTTCCGTCATCTCCATGATTTCAATTTAGCACTTCTTGCAAAACAATTATGGCGCTTGATTCACTACCCAAACTCCCTACTCGCACGCGTCTTAAAAGGGAGGTACTACAAGCATACCTCTCCTTTGGATGATCGCCGTACATACTCACCTTCATATGGTTTGCGAAGTATCATGGCAGCAAAACCACTTCTGATACTGGGACTACGAAAGAGGATTGGAACGGGCCGAGATACGAAGGTGTGGAGTGATCACTGGGTCCCTGACTCAGTGGCCCGCCCACCCAGGCCTGCTGACCACATTGTATACAGACTTCCCCAACTCCCCGTTCAGGCCCTTATTAGGAATGATACGAAGGAGTGGGATATACATCTTTTACGGGAGTATTTTCAGCCGGATGACATTCCCTTGATCCTTGGGATTAGACCGTCACACTCCGATACCCTGGACGGATATATCTGGGACTACACAAAGACAGGGATATACTCGGTTAAAACTGGATATGACCTGCTCCAGACGACCAAGATGAACACTACTCAGGAATTGGTCCTCGAACCAAGTATCACTGGCCTTCTGGGTCACGTGTGGAGGATAGAAGCCCCGAGCAAGATGAAACATTTCTTGTGGCAAGCTATTTCGGGCTGTGTACCGACAGCAGAGAGGCTCACGTACAGACACCTGGGCACCGATAGGAGTTGTCCTAGATGTGCTGGCCCAGTGGAGTCGATCAACCACCTTCTTTTTGAGTACCCCCCAGCCCTACAGGTTTGGGCTTTATCGGACTACCCGTCCATTCCGGGTGACTTCCCGAGTACATCTATTTACCAAAATATAAACTTCCTCTTTTGGAAGAGAAAAGAAGTGGCTCCTCGGAGACCACAATTCGATACCTTTCCATGGATCTGCTGGTTCATCTGGAAGGCTAGGAACGACAAACTCTTCAACGGAAAAGTCGTCTCCCCAATGGATACCCTTCAACATGCGTCTTTAGAGGCAGAATGTTGGAGGAAGGCAAACGAGAGCGAGGAAGAAGAGGAAGTGGAGGAGCATGTGTTTCCTTCACTAGAGACAGCGACAGAACCCCCTGGGCTTCCCCGAATCCCAACCTGCCAAATCGATGCATCTTGGATCGATAATGGTAGCGTTAGTGGCTTAGGATGGAGTTGTAAGGATTACATGGGTGCTGAACGCTTCGGACTACGAGCATGTAACAGAAGCCGATCAGCCTTGCATGCAGAGATGGAAGGACTACTCTGGGCAGTTTCATGTCTGCAAGACTTGAGGATATTAGCAGTACGGATCGAAACAGACTGCTCGGAACTTGTAGACATGGCGACCAACCCGGCGGAATGGCCAAATTTCACGACAGAGATTGAGATACTCCAACAAGCACTGGAAGTTTTTGAGGTTGTGAGTCTGTCTCATATTTCCCGTTGTAGGAATGGCCGTGCGGACGCACTCGCAAAGGAAGCAAGGAAGAAAGGTTTCATATTCTCCCATATAGATCAGACCAGGTCACACGGAGGTTCCCCCGGGGACCGGCTCGTCTGACTACCACTTGATCTTGTAATAATGGGTAGTTGACAAAAAAAAAAAAAAGATTGTTTAAATTACCATATTTATTTATTTTACAACAAGTCTCAGATTTTATGAATACAGAATAAATTAGAATAATATATGAGTATCAAAAATATATCTGTTTACATTCTTTCTTAAGAAAATAGAATTAAATAAAAAATAACTAAAGAATAGTAGTCAAACATTGATTATGAAATGATAAATTTAAATAACAATTGAAAATACACTAATTATATGTTAATTTTTAGAACTGGGTTTTAAACTTGGGTCACAGATTTTACTGAGTTTTTAACCAATTTTTCGTAAACCCAATTTTTAAACCGAATCCGACTCAGTTTTTTTAGCAAGTCTTAGTCGGACCAGTTCGACCGGTCGGTCTGATCCAGTTTTCAAAACCAGGCCATTAACACTGAAAATGAATCACATATTATAAAAAATAAACAAACACTAATATCATATGCATAAACAACCGTATATTTAAAACCCCAAAATTATCAAAACAAAAATACAAATGTTCGTAACATTTTTCTAAAATAAACAAACAAAATACAAATATTCATAACACAAATATAAGACATCCCGCGCGTAGCGCGGACCGACTCTAGTATATATATATATACTAGGGGAAATCCGCGCTTCACGCGGGATGTGTTATTTTGGTCTATGATTTGTTTATATAGTTGTTTGTTTATTTGTTTATGTTTAGGATTATAATATGGTTATGTAGTGTTTTGTTTATTTTATATCGTTGTTTGTTAGATTTTGTGTGCCTATGTAACTTTTTTTATATGTAGGAGGGTGGTGCATTTTTTTTTTTGAATTTTGTTTATAACTATTAACATTTAACTGACAACTTTAAATTTGTATTTTTTTGAGAAATTAAAATAGTGTTTGTAATTTTATCCCGAAATTAGAGAAAGTATACACCAACTACGGGTTCAATGTATTGATCATATAATAAAAATAAATTATTATTTATTTGTAGTAGCAGTATGAATCACAATGGTTCGAAGTAACATTCAGGTTGTTTGTTTGTTTGGTTGTCATTGTTTATTTGTTTGTGAATAATTGTATATGTCTGTAATGAACTCCAACTCCAATCCTCGAGTGTAGACTCTCTATGAGAAATGCAAAGTTTGTTTGTTCAAAAACAAAATCAACAATCCATGGTGGATCAGAATTAACAAATAAACCACACTGTATAATTAAGATATGGGATCCCTCATGTCATCAGTTATGCTATATATGAAAAATCATTTTTATATGAAAAAACAGTACATTATATGGTTAAATTGAACAAAACAAAAACAGGTTTATATAATCTAATTAAACCCAAAAAATCTCATTTAGTTATAAATAGTTTTCATCCTCCATAAAAAAATTCCAAGGAAATAGAATATCTGTTGAATGTTTTTTTTCATAAAAAAAATTATTGACATATATGCTTTCACTATTTTTATACAAAACTAATAATAAGTGTGATTCACCATCCGGGCATCCAATGCCTAAAACTAACAAAATATCCAAAGGTTACGGTTAACCAAACTATTAGAAACATTCTTTAATTAGTAAATAAATTAAACTATATAACCACACGAATGTTCATTAGAGAAAATAAGCAAATCATCCAAAAGAAAATGTTTATATCCAAGAAAACAATTGTTCTATCATTGGCTCTTGTAGCTGTTATGTGTATTGTCATGAGCACAACTGAAGCCACAACCATAAGCAATGGAGCTATGAAAGGAGATGAAAAGGGTTGTACCGCGGGAAATTGTAAGGAAGGTGAGGCTAACCCATATAAAAGGGGTTGTGAACCTGGTCTAAGATGTCGTGGGGGTTAAGATTACGACATTTTTTCTGGTAAATGAAAAACTTGTGACTCTGAATAGTAATGAATTTTATAATTACTTTCTTGAACTACTTAATATATAATTATTGTAATTCTATTTTTGAGAATACTGTGTAAGGAGTAGCTAGTTGATATAAGTATTGTAAACTTATATCGGCTAACTTGATATTAAAATGTTTGTATAGCTATACCAGCCATGTGTTATATAATATGGCTTTGTATGTAATAAATTCAAATATATGTAAAAAAAAATCTCTTGAAATTCGTTCAACATAGTGAATAATCATGTGATCCCAGATTCGATATATAGTGAACTGATAATGATGTGGTTGTGATATCAAACTTGAATACATATGAGCTAGGACTGGGTATCGATACTTGTTACTCGTTTAATACTTGCTATCTGACTCATATTTGATTTAAAAATCAAGTATTTGACGTTGTCAAATCAAGTATCACGATTTTTTTATTACTGAACTTGGTTTGGTACTTGTTTTATTATTTGTTATTAATTTTTAAAATATGTACTATTCTTTAAAATACTTATTTTACTACTAATATTGTAATAAAAATAAAAATATATTATTTTTTGTAGGTATTTAGGTAGTAATGCTTATTACAAATGAATTACATACACACAGTAACTCAAATTACTTGAATAGGCTAAATAAAGTAACAAGTATAAGTATATGAAAAATAAAATAATCTATTCCACGTTAACTGAACTTATATGTATTGGTACTTTTAATTTTAAAGTTTTGAAACTAAATAATTAAATATCAAATATCATCAAATAACATACAAATCTTTAAAATAGAGGCAAATACTCAACTAACTAAATATTTGATTGAATCAAGTACAGGTACAAGTAAAAAAATTCTAATACTTGCATAAAGTAAGTCAAGTAGCGGGTAGGACGAAAAATTAAATATCCGACTTGCACCTAAGCCTAATATGAGCAGGTGTAGCATTTTGTAAGTTCATGCCCTCAAAGTAACACCTTATGCTCTGCCACGAAAATGTTAGTATGTGAATGAAGATGTTGTATACTTAAGTGTTTGTATTACTAAGTCCACTCATCTAAAACACAGCAATGTTGTGATGGTTGTTAGCTCCCTAAATATTGAACATCAACATATAAGTTTTTTGAATGATTATAGTCTGCACATCTCCATATGACAGAATCAAATTTTGTAATTTAACTTTGATTTTTTTAAAAATATATATTTTGAACTTAATTTAAACATGTTATTTCTCAGATTCCAGCTAGTTAATCCAATTTCTTTTAAACAAGATAAGATTATCAATCAAATCAATATATTAGGAGATGTAAACCAATGAGATTATGATCATGACAAATTCTCAATACAGTAAAACCTCTATAAATTAATAATGTTGGGACTTTGAAATTTTATTAATTTATAGAGATATTAATTTACCAAAAATTTCCTTATTTAGATTTTTTTCTGTTTTTTCCCTTTTTATTTATAAAGTAAAAAATATCTGATTTTCGTAGATGTATTTTATTTAAATTTTAGAAATTTGATTTTTATATTGTTTTATTATCTTATTTGGTGTATATTTTAATGTTTCATAGAATGTTTATGTGGTTTTCGATATAATTTAACTAATTATTATCAAAATATATTAATATTTTTATTGTAAATATAAAACCAACAATATAATGTTAGATTATACTTATATAAAACTATATATATATAGATTATTAATTTATGATTTTAATGGGACTATATATTTACATGGTAGTTTTAAAAATGCTATTATCTTATTATTTTATCGATTTGTGTCATATTTTACACCGGCCCAAGTTGGAACCGGTGAAATTTATTATTTTATAGAGATTAATAATTTATCGAGTATTAATTTATAGAGGTTTTACTGTATATGTTCTCTTTTTTTCTTTTATTTAACATTTTGGTCTATTTATTCATGTACAACTGCTATTTCAATAATTTGGACTTGGGCTTCCATAATGGGTCTTCTTGGCCCGTTTTGGATCCAATACTCAATGCTCAGTTTGCATTAACTCTCTCTCCTCTGGAACAGACGCAGAATCGATTAAGTAAAACTGTAAACCTAACTCCGATTTCGAAGAAAGCGATCGTTTCCTGAACCCTAATGGATCATCATCATCATAATCATCAAGAGGAGGGAAGCCACAGCGATAAACAAGACGACGAGGTTTGATTTCGATTCCCCCGAGATATCACTGATCGTATTGAAAATAATCATCGCCCCCCTTGTTGATTGCAGGAAGCTCTTGCTCGCCGTGAGGAGATTAAGAAGTCGATTGAAGCTAAGATGACTCTTCGTCAAACCAATCTCAATCCTGAACGTCCCGGTTTGTGTATTTTTGCTTTTGAAAATTATAACCTAGAGAGTGATCTTGTGATCCCTGATGATGATAATTTGATAATTTTGGGGTTTCAGATTGCTTCTGTCACTGGTTTTAGTGTAGTTTGAGTTGTTACTAAAGCTGAGTTGTGCATGTTACAGATTCAGCATATCTAAGGACTCTTGATTCTAGCATCAAGCGCAATACAGCAGTGATCAAGAAGTTGAAGCAGATCAATGAGGAGCAGCGAGAAGGGCTTATGGATGATCTGCGAAGTGTGAACCTTAGCAAGTTCGTTAGTGAAGCAGTTACTGCCATTTGTGAGGCCAAGCTCAAAAGCTCTGATATTCAAGCAGCTGTCCAGGTTGGCCTTGCTGTGTTTCCTATTTTGTACCTTGTGCTACTTTTTAGGATGTTGCAGATTAGAGTCGGTTAGGGGTCGTTTTTATAATGCATCTCTAGTTATCAACATGTCTCATTGAGAATTTTTTTATTGTTTGTTATATTTGTTTCAGTAGTTTTAATTCACTAGAGTGCTTAATATGTCAATCCTCTTACCCCGGTTTAGGTGTATGTGGAAGGATACCTTGTCCTCTCGGTTTACGGGTCTCTTTTCGGTTTTGTTATTTGTACTGTAGCTGATATCCATGTTTTCTGACAGATATGCTCACTACTTCATCAGAGGTATAAAGAGTTTTCTCCTAGTCTAACACAAGGGCTCTTGAAAGTCTTTCTTCCTGGGAAATCAGCCGACGACCTAGATGCAGACAGAAACTCAAAGGCCATGAAAAAGCGCAGTACCCTAAAACTTCTTCTGGAGCTCTACTTTGTTGGAGTAATAGATGATAGTAACATCTTCATCAATATTATTAAGGACCTTACCAGTGCTGAACACATGAAAGATCGAGATACGACCCAGACAAATTTGACACTTCTTGCCGGTTTTGCTAGGCAAGGAAGAGTTTTTCTTGGGCTTCCTATATCTGGACAAGACGAAGATGTAAGTATTTGAAGAGCTCTTATCTGCGCCATCCCCCAGCTCATCTATTAACGTATATCTACATGATATCTTTGGTAGTTAAAGGGGGATGCTTTCTTTGATACATTTTTCCGTGAAGAACTAAATCTGACTAAAGTTTACTCTAGTTTTTTAAGGGTCTCGACGTCACTGCAGAACAGAAAAAGAATTTTAAGAAAGCTTTCAATACATATTATGATGCTCTGGCAGAGTTTCTTCAATCTGAGCACAAGGTTAGATATTTATTTGTTTGCACATGTGCAGGAACTTTTATAGATATCTTTTTTCTTCTTCTGAAATTGAAGTACTTTCTCCTTTTCTTTTCCATTCTCCTTTTTCTGTAGTAGCTTCATAATACATTTTTTACAGTCACTACAACAAATGGAAAAAGAAAATGCAAAACTGGTAAATGCTAAAGGGGAGCTTAGTGAAGACAGTGCATCGTCATATGAAAAGCTGAGGAAATCATATGACCATCTCTATCGAAATATCTCATCGTAAGTTGATCATTGGGTCAACTGTATTTTCCTGTTCTCGTTGGGTCTAGCTGTAGTGGAGTTGATTGCGGAAAAGCTTAGATCATATATCATAATCTTAGTCATTTAATCCGTCAGTAAATGGGTAGCTTCGTAGCTTTCTTCTCACTGGCTGCTAACAATAATAACCCGTGCTAGCTCTTAGCATATTTTTCCCTCATTGTAGTGTAACGTATAGTTTCATTGTTCAGCGTCAGTTCGTTTGCAACACCTTTGTATTGATCATGACATACCGATTAACTAGAACCCTATGATATTTGTAATGGATCTTTGGAAGTGATCATAGATTTATGTGTTTATCCTTTCATCCCATATCTTTGACTGGAATGGGTTATCTGGTAAAGGAACATCTACAGTTTCAATATTTAGAGGCTAATTTCTTAGATAAATACTTGTTACAAAACAAAAAGTTGTTTAATTCTCATCTAAAACCTCTGCATACTTAGTACTGTATCATATGTCATGTTGCAGTTTGGCTGAAGCACTTGATATGCAGCCTCCTGTTATGCCAGAGGATGGTACAACTAGGCTCACAGCAGGGGACGAGGCCTCATCGTCTGGTGCTGTCAAAGAAACATCTGTCCCCGAACCTGTTTGGGACGATGAAGATACCAAGACATTTTATGAGTGCTTGACTGATCTGAGGTCAGTTCTTATTTATGGTCCTAAGAAACAATTTTATGGGAGGATGTGTTGTTTGTAAGTGGCCCAGAAAACTTTAATTTTCATGATAGAGTCAGGCTTATATAGTTCATTATAGCGTTTACTCTTCTCTTTTACTTACTTATGTCATTTCATTATTTGTCTAGGGCATATGTTCCAGCAGTCTTGTTGGGAGACGTAGAGCCTGCAAAGACAAAAGATAAATCATCTGTGAGTGGTGACACTACATCATTCTCACTCTTTTCCTCTTAGGATATACGAAGACATTTAGTGTTGCCGCTATGTGAGAACGTGGATGGTGTTCCTTTTTAATAGACCATGAAGTGCACGTAGTGATCAATAGACATACTCTGCTTTTGAAAGATTTCGTGCTGCACATTTGGGCATAGTTTTCTATAAATCCAGCATTTCTGATTTCATATTCTGTTGTGATTGATTGTAGGAGTCTAGCTCTGAAGTTGTCGAAAGTCAACAAACAATTGAAGAAACAACAGAGTTTCCTGCTGATTCTGGTAGTATGGCTGATGTCCCAACTACTGAGCAGCCAAAAGAGAAGGATGAAGTAGATAAGGAAAAAGCTAAGAATGCTAAGAAGGAAAAAGGGAAAGAAAAGGATAGTGACAAGAAATTGGAAAATGAGAAGGAGAAAGGCAAGAGCCTGGACGTGGGAAACTTCGAAAGATTGTTACAGAAACTTCCTTGTTGCGTAAACCGTGATCTTATTGACCAGTTAACGGTAAGAGTTTTTGAAATGATTTTCTATTTGATTTCGTTTTGGCTGAACGTCTATTTTTTGCTCTATTGTTCACTTCTATGTTTTTATTTACAGGTGGAATATTGTTATTTGAACTCCAAGACAAACAGGAAAAAACTTGTCAAAGCGTTATTTAATGTCCCTAGGACATCTCTGGAGTTGCTAGCATACTATTCACGTATGGTTGCAACACTAGCAACGTGCATGAAAGACATCCCTTCTACGCTTGTGCAGATGTTGGAGGACGAGTTCAATTATCTAGTCCATAAAAAGGTT